CATGACATGAATCTTTTCTTGATTCAATCATTTAGTGAATTAATTAAGTTGATTTACTTTGAATACATTTTTGGATTAGATTATCTTATTCCTTCTTGTCTCTCAAGTAAGCATATATATAACATGGCCATCGCTATAGTAATGTATTTTAGAATTTTATATCAATGGAGTGATGCTTGTGGTAATGGGTCACTTGGGATATAGTTTAGTCTCTATAATCTTCATTATTGTACAAAAAAAGAAAACACTATTAATACATCTAATATAAATCCATGTTAATATTAATTATCTAGACTGATATGAAATGGAGTGAAGGTGTTACCTGCTTATAGGCCTAATAGGCCCATGCTTTGTCTGTAAACTTAGCCCAAAATGTTTACTTCGAAAAGTACCGAAGCTAAATTAGAGTATGCAGTGTGCTAGGGTTGCACAGAAGTCGGATTTCAATTCGATCCGGATCGGTTTTTATTCGATCTGGTTTTTTCCCATAGAAAAAAACCGGTTTATAAAATAACCGGTTCGGTTTTTAACCTGTTTGGAGAGCCGGATATCCTAACTGGTGTAACCGGTTTCGGTTTTAAAAAAGTTTTTTTAAAAAAACCGGTTATAAAAAAACCGATTTTAATATTATTAAAATTACATCGTCATCAATTGCAAAAAAGTTTACGATAATTTGTTGAAAACATTTTGATATTTCGATATAACAAATTAAGTTAAATGAATTTTAAGATTTTCCAAATGATTTTCTAAGTATATTCGATATAATTATTCGAATATCAAAACATTACTCCAAATATTTCAAAAATCATTTTTAATCTTTACTTAAGTGTAAAATTAAGTTTTAATCTTAAAACAATTTCAAAATAATCTTTCAAAGTATTTCAAACCATTTCAAAGCCAAAAATTCCACATTGCTCAGAGGGAACGATTTCCCCCAAGGGGGTACCGATTCCCCCCTGAATGGTTTGGCTCCGAGATTTCCAGAATGCTCAGAGGGAACCGATTCCCCCATAGGGGTACCGATTCTCCCTATTCAACGGCCGAAATATTTGAATTTTACACTTAGGGAACCGATTCTCTATGAGAGGGTACCGATTCCCCCCACGCTCCAAGCATTTTTATTAAATGTTTTCACACTTAAACGGCTATATTATCTTCATTAATTATCCCTAACGTTCAGAAGTGATTCAATGTGTATTTAAGCAAGCTTAGAAGCCATTGATCAAAAACAAGAAACATCAAGCAACTAGAATCAAGAGAGAATCAAAGAGAAATCATCAAACCTCAAGTTTGAGCATTTCAAGCCTATTTTCATTCAATATTCATTTTGCTTTCAAGAACACATATTGTGCTCAATTGTATTCATCTTTGAGTGTTCTTTTCTTTGTTCTAGAATTGTGCAAACAATCTATCTTGTGAGGATTTCCTTGTAAGTTTGCAAATTTGTATTGTTCTCTTTGGGAGAGAGTTTTCTCAAGAATTTGGGGTATAATTCTTGAGGGTTTGTAAGGTTACTCTTTGTCCTCAAAAGAAAGACAAATTAGTGAATTTGTGAAAAATCCTTAGTGTGGATAGCTAAGGTAGTGGACGTAGACTTTGATTGAGAAAGTCGAACCACTCTAAATCGCTGTGCAAATCTTTTCAATTTTCTGCAAAAGCTTCCACCGAAATTTTTAATTGCCAATTCACCCCCTCTTGGCCGATTCCGTCGATCGATTAACTCAACATAATTGAAATACTTAAATACTTAAATACTTCCAAGTTTGATAAATTCAAATACTTAAAAACTTCCAAGTTCGATAAATTCAAATACTTAAAAACTTCAAGTTCGATAATTGAAACAAAGTTTACGATAATTGAAATAAAGTTTAAAAATAAACTACATTGCCATCTCTTCTTCATCATCTTCGCCTTCTTCATTTGGAGGGGATATTCCAAGTTCGACTTCTTCAATGTGTAAGTTTGCTTCCAAATCGGCATCAATTGTATCTTCTAGGGTGGTGATATGTTGCTTACGAGCCGCTCCATCCAAATAATCCTTTAAACAAATGCACACTTCCACCGACTCGGGACTTAGTCTTGATCTCCGTTGCGATATAACCCTGCCACTAACAGAAAAAGTGGATTCCGAAGCTACCATAGAAGCTTGGACGGTTAGTAAATCACGGGCCATGGTGGCTAGAATCGGAAATTGTGCTTCCTTTTCTTTTCACTAAGCCAAAATATCCAAACTTTCAAACTCTTCAAATGTCATTTTTGATAGAAAATCGCATGACATCTAATTTCCCAACTCGCTACTTGGGGTGGTAGTACGTGATCGTTTGGATTGGGAATTTACAAGAGTGTTAAAAAGATTCAAATTTATGTTACTTGGACGTCTACTAGATGATTCCGCATTCATTCTCATTTGATCGTGTATTACACTACTTGATCCGTATTTAGTTAAATAAATTGCAAACATGTCTCGAAAACATTTGTTAAAATAATTTATTTGGTTTTGGACAAAGTTGGGTTCATCATCGGTTAGATTAAAAGCAAACGCAATTTGTTCAATTAGTGTTTCAACCCCGCCAACATTTAACGTTGGGTTTAAAGCGACGACACAAGTAAAAAATGGGGGGAATCTCCTTAAAATATTTTAAAAGTTTTTCCTTCATTGCAAAGCCAATTTCTTGAAAAACTTCGGTTTCAAATTCAAAGTCATTTAGTCGGGTAGCCAACAAAAATATTTGATTAAGAACCAACGGGCTAGTAGGATAATAAACACCGGATAAAAAAGTTGTTGCATTTTTAAAAACCCCAAGCAAATCGGTTATTTTGACTATAGTTTTCCAACTCGAATCCGGATAAATGTTTGGGACATGACCCCTCTCGAAAAGCCGATCGTGAAATGTTTGCAATGTTTTCCTATACCTTAAGGCAGTATGCATCATCATCCAAGTTTAGTTCCAACGAGTTGGACAATCCAAATTAGGAACCAAAGCTTTTTTATTAACGGACTTACAAAATCGTTTATAACCATTTAGTCTTTTGTTGTTGTTACAAAGAACCGATTTTATCATTGTTTTAAATTCTAATCTAATCGGCTCAATAACCTCCAAACCGGCTTGCACGGATAAATTAATTACATGTGCAACGCAACGGGTATGAAAAAACGCACCGTCTAAAATCGGTGAAAGTAATATTTTCAATCTTGGAACCGCGTTTGTATTATTCGATGCATTATCAAATGATATAGAAAAAACTTTATTTTCTAATTTATAATGACAAATTACCCTTTTTAAAAGTGTAAATAAATTAGCACCGGTATGCGGCTCACCGAATAATTCAAACGCGATTGTTCTTTTCATCATTTGCCAATTATCTTGATCTAACCAATGTGACGTAACAGCTAAAAAAAAATTTCCGGTATTATGAGGGGAACTCCAAACGTCACATGTAAGCGGCACACCATAATGGTGTTCTTGGAATCCTAAAATCATTTTTTCCCTCGCCGTACGCCACATTTTTATAGCATCTCTTCTAAGGGTAGTACGACTTACTTGAGTATAACGTGGTTGCATTAGTTGTTGAATTGTTGTCGTGAAATCTTCATCATCAAAGTGGTCGAACGGCAATGTTTTTGTAATCACGAACTTTGTAAACGCTTCTCGTAATTTTTCGTTGTCGTAAACAAAAACACCACATTGCGGTGTAAGATTCGATTGACTAGGATCCGATCTTGAGCGAAGTGCCTTGCATGATTTTGTCAAATGGTTCTTCAACGTTGTGTTTCCTTCCGATGCAAGAAACTTTAGACAAAGTTTACAACGCGCCCTCCTCGAGCCATTTGACATCTCACATAAATCGTAGTGATCCTAAATATCTTTGTTTCGAGTGTGTTCGATCACTCTCACGACTTCAAGGTTTCCCCTGACGGAAGATTCAGCCGTGTTACTTATGATGAACAAAAAATTACAAAAATAAGATTTGAGAGATGTTTAGGTGTTGTGTAATAAGATTTGAGAAAGTTGTAATCAACCAAATACATCCCCAACCTATTTATACATGTTTAGGGTGGTAAAATGGTAATTTTTTAAAGAAAAAAACGGTCAAAAACGGTCATAAAACCCCCCAACGGCTATATTAACGGCTAGTTTTTTAAACCCAGACCGGTTTTTTTTTTCGGATAAAAATCAGTTTTTTATCTGATAAAAAAACCGGTTTAGATTTTTTTCTCCAAACCGGTTAAAATAACCGGTTTAAAAAATATAAATGTGTGCAACCAACTTCTAGCATTCGCATCATCGATCCCTTATCTGTCCTACAACTAGACGTGTAAAGTAAGGCCTACCATGTTCTCCATGTACGCTGATGGATTTGTACAGGGCAAAAAATATATACTGGTAAATAACGTATTTAGTATTTTAGTTAGTTACCAATTTACTCTTACAGTTTTGTTTTGATCACTCCTTAAAAAATAAATAGAATTGTTAATATAAATTTTCTTATTATTTATTTCAATGATGATGTGGCATTACTTTGTAGTGACACATCAGCACGACCGATTATTTTTTTAAAAGAGGGTGACTAAATGGAACAAAAACACGATATTAAATGTGATTTTGAAGAAAAAAATAGTTGAACGACCAAAACAGAACTGTGAGAATAGATGGATAACTAGATACGTAGTTTACCCAAAAAAACATATAGCTATACTTGAAAGTTCAAAGCAGAGGCAGAATCATGCATATAATATTCTTCAAACTTGTGCTTTGACTGAGCATTTTATGGGAAACCAAAATGTTTGACGGGTATGAACCAAATATTACCCATAAAATCGTACACTAGAAACTCATGTATCAAATGAAAGGAGGAGTTTTGGCATAAAGAAACATTTTTCCAGCCAACTCGGTTGTTCTCCTATAAGTTGGTAAAAAGCTTTTTGTCTTTCCTGTTCGGTTTTTCACTCACCTTGGCATGCATGCTCCTATTACTTTCGAAACTTGTTCTTGGTTAGCTATGCGGGCTTCTGTTCTTCCTTGTATAGAATTCTAGCATTTTCCTAATCGAGAACCATCTCTCCGGTTGAAAATAAGTTCCAGACTAATGTGCCTATGATGTACAATGCAACTGACACCTTAAACACATCATCCCAGGAGCCTGCAATGGAAAAGTTTGTAGACGTTAATAATAAAATTTGTATGCTAAATTCAAGTCAAACCGAGCATAATTCAACCGGACCTCGTTGGAGTATGTAGCCAGTAGCAGCTGTACCAAAAACACCAGCCAGCACCCCAGCAGTGTTCGACAGTCCTAATAGAACTCCCTGGTTTAGACATAAACAACTATCAGGAAAAGAAGCACATCATTCTTGACAAGATACACCGATGATCAAGCAAATTACTTAAAGAAAACCACATAGAGGATTAGAAAAAAATCCGTCCTAGTTACATTTATGCCAGGATTATCGAATTAATATGTAGTTATTAGTTCTCGTGCTTAGGGACACGTCAAACTGATTTTACCATGTAAAGCCCCAAGCGTTTGTAAAGATTGCTTCCATCTTTTACATTTTTATGAAACTTTAGTAAGAGCTGAAAATTACTTGGACATCAAAATCACAAAATGACATTGCTTTGGTTATTCATTACACTATATGCCATTCTAAGGAACTCACAGCATAGCGTGGGTCAATGTCTTGGTGATTGGAATAAAGGCCTGACTGAGAGAATGCATCTGATCCCTATCAAGAAAAAAAAATTATTTATCAATATCTTTTCCAGATTAGTTAGTGGCACCTGATCCTTTAACCTCAATAGAAACCAAACACCCAAGTCAGTTCCTTTGTCAGTCTAATACAGGAGTTTACAGTGCACAGTGCACACTGATTTTTATATAAACTATAGGGAAATTTATGTGGATAAGGTCATAATTGTGGAGAAAGAAAAAACGAATATGGCAATGCATAAAATTCAAAGCTGAGTTGAACCTTAAATAATGATAAAAAAAATGGTACCTGGCTACATGCCATGCATAGCACTGCCATGGCAGGTGTTCTGACATAGCTTAGCTGTGTGAGGAAGAAGGCCGGTCCCAAAAAGCCTATCGTTTGCATGATCTGCAAAATTAATAGGTTACAGGCATGATCGCGTAAAAGGACTCGAGTAATCTTTCTTACCATCGCTTGATCAATGTCTTCAATGAACTACTAAATTTCCTTTTTCATATAGGAAGAAGGTTGGGTCTAAGATTTCTAATATGATATGAGTTGTTTGTGATACCATGAGAGCATGAATTCCACAACAAAGATGAGGAGATTGAATTTAAATAAAAATCAGAAAGATTATAGGCAGACTGCCAGAGTAGTCAATAAAACACAAGTCGGTACATTTAAGCATTTAATAATTCTTTGAAATAAATCATATTTAAGAATCAAGGAAGAGCTAATCCTTGCCTTACGCACTGCTGTTATGGAAAGACCTCTGCTCACGAGTGTGTCAGCGATCCACCCTCCTATATTTGCAAAGGCAGCCATAGTCAACCAAGGCAATACACAGAGGAGTCCAGATTCAGTTAGGTTGAACTTCAAAACCTGTAAGAACCACAATGACAATGGTTAATAACGAGTCGATGAAATCAATATTTAAATATAATTTCTGAGCTGCTAGAGCTAGATTTGGAAAACTTTAGAGGTAAGATAACAAAGTGACAGAAGCGAAAAAGCCAGCAATCAATGATCAGTTATTAACTCGTTAAGATAACAAGTTCTTAACCATGGTTATTCAAAGTTATTAACGAGTTATTCAAAACTTTAGAGGTAAGATAACAAAGTGCATCCCATGCCTTTCAAAGCCAGCAATCAGGCAGGTAAAGGTGTACTCATGGAAAGGCATGGAATGCAACAACAATACATCCTGCACAGGAGCTGCAAGCTATATACACTTCAAGCCTCATGTTCAGCAAAGCAATAAGTGCTGAGCAGAGCTGCATGCTATAGACTGTACTCGATGCCAATTGTAAAGATGACATTGTTCATTGAACATGTTTCAAATACCTGATTGTAGTACGTAGGCATCCATGTTAGGAGGATAAAAGTTCCCCAATTATGGTAGAAGTGAGAGATTATAAGAGCCCAAACAGGAGCTTTTGATAAGATTAATCGCCATGGAATGACCTTAACTGGTTCCTTTGATATGCCGCTTCCCATGATTAGTTTCTTTTCTTCTTTACTAAGCTCTGGGTCTTCATTCGTGGAGCTATATGCCTGAGAACCAACCACAGAAGCGGCAGCATTAAAGAATTTTCAAAGGGAGTACCAACTACCAAGTACTGAGATCCACATGAAAATACATTAATTCAACCACTTCCCTTCTTTTATGGATAAAGCATCAAAAACTACTTGCTTGGAGTGTGTGATCTTTAGTGAAAAATGTAAACTTGGAAGTCAAAAACATTTAGTAATAATGAGGGAAGAAATGGATGGACTTCTAACATATATCATAGGACCATGGTATTAACAGGTTCAGTTTGTTTTGATCTCATCAAGCATCATTCACAGCCCGATCATTTATAAATAACTCCAGAGGAAATTTTTTTATGTCGACTCCTTTAATATATTATGAATAAAAGCTAAAGGAATCAAGGCCGCACTTTATTTAGCCATAATGCAAACCAGATGCTTCCAAGGGAGCCCAATGAGTAGAAAACAGATGGCCACCCAAACTTGTGGATTAAGATAGGGGAGAAAGCCAGCCCAGTAACAGAACCAAGATACATGCCGCTGTATACAAGTGCAAGTGATCTACTTCTCTCTGACACTGGAATCCACTTAGAAAGTAGGTTGTTCATTGCTGGCATAGCCACACCCTGTAAAGAAAATAGATGAGTTGCGTTCTCTTTCTGGGAAGTTGGGAACTGTTGGCTCAGTGAATAATTGTTTTTGAGTTATATGGCAAAAAACTCTCCTTCAGATAAAGGGCTGCTTCAGAAAGCATGTGAAGTTTGGAGGTAGTTTGGTAATTAACCACAGGTCACTACAGGATAAATATTAAAAACCAACAAGCAGAGCAGCGCCTACCTCGCCAGTTCCCATAAAAGCACGCATAGTAAGCAAAAATGGAAGTCCAATTCTTGCAGCAATAGGTGTCAAAATAGTAGCTACTGTCCACCAGACAACTCCAAAACCCAGTACTAGCTTTCCACCTATTTTATCTGCCCATATGCCTCCAAGAATCTGTATGTAAAAAAAAAGATCAGATTAAAAAGATTACAGAATTTCTGGCATCAACAAACAATGAATGAAAACCACATAGATGTTAACAGGATGCAGCAATCTCAGAAGGTTCAAATATGCATAATACTAGAAGCTCGACACATTATATGCCAATGTAATGGACATCCTCCATAGAAACTAAATTATTCTGCATATTTTAAAACACGCGGAAACCTTAGAAGGTTCAAATATGCATAATATTAGAACCTCGACACATTATAAGCCAATGTAATGGACATCCTCCATAGAAACTAAAAATTCTGCATTTTTTAAAGTGTTTGAACCACACCTGAGTGAGTAGATAGCCCCAGAAAAAAGAAGGCTGAATCAAACCAACTGTTGCACTGTTCCAGTTAAACTCTTTTGACATTGGGAGTATAGCAATGCTCATGTTCACCTGCAAAAGGAATACATAACACACAGTTAAGTCAGCATGCATGTAGAGATGTACAGTGTTGCTAACGTTTATGAAGAGAATACTCACACGGTCCATGTTGCATAACAAAAATGCTGCAAAACATAGCAGTACAACAACCCATCGCTTAGGAAAATTCTGCCACCAAGGGATATCTCGTTTAACTAGAATAGCTTCACTGGTTTCGTCAGGAGACGGTAAAGAGTCCAACTTCCCTTTAGTTATGTCATACTCCTCGGATTTATAGAAAGCACAAGTCCTGTTTTTTCTTATTTTGTCCTTGTCACAAGTCTCAATAAGGACATGCAAGTATCGAATCAACAAGAAGAATTCAAAAAAAAAATGCAGCTAATTAACATTAAGCTCAAACAACTATTGAAAGCATCTTCAATTAAGGAAGTAAAACAATACCTGAACCGAATAAATGTCCAAAATTTCGGTTGGAAATCAAACCGCCTATAGCCATTGCAGGAGCACAAGTTGTAGCTCGAAGCTTAAGAGCTAAACTGTACCATTCAGCTCAAAATCGAAAGCTCAAAAGTTCATAACAGACATTGTATTTTAACTCTTTTTGTTCAGTTCTTGACGATGAAACGCATAAAAGGAAGATTCTTTCTTTGCTTCGGTAGATTTTATTTTATTTTAATTTTCAAAAGCGGGAAAAATACCAGTGGCTTAATAATATATCGAAGCAAAAGAGATTCGAGATGTGACACTTGGGGATATCATCCAATGAGGATGAAAGGTCATCAAAAAGATACGATAGGGTTCTGGAAATACCCCTCCATGCAATTCAAAATTACGTTGAGATTTGTGTGGTAAAACGGTAAATTAAGTGGTTTCAAAATGGGTTTTATTGGAAAGGGAAAATACATCAAGTTACAAACTAATTATCTAATTTTAAATGGTTACAATCGAGTCACTCAATTAGTTTTGGATTAAGATGTAAAACAGCCTGTAATTAATTCTGGAATAAGATGTAAAAAAATTGCAAAACCGTGCAAAATTCACTTGTAACCTGCAAATTAGAACATCATTTCATTATGGAAACAGTAGAAAAAAACATTCTGAAGATATAGCAAAGTTTACATGAAAACAAGAACCATAAGCCTAAAACAATTATACATTCACCAATATGACATAAACCCCTCCAGGCATTTTTTTAAATTAATTATCTCAGTCAAATTCATAATGTTTTGAGAAATTCTGTGAAGCATGCGACAAACCCAAATTATTTCTTGCCATTGTACATGGATTCGACCTTACCATCATTTCCACCGAGCAACATATACTTGTCTTTCCTAGTCAATCCCGTGCATTCAAAGCCCAGTACATCGCCCAACACCTTCTGCACGTGATTCGCCACCTCGATAGCCGATTTTCCTCCGGCCTTCACCGTCATCTCTTCCGGCAACCGGTCGAGGAACGTGACCTCGTATGTTGGCCTTGGGTTCATGAAGAAAAAGTAAGGGTCCCAGAATTTTACCCCTCTCACGGTCGTCCCGTAGAACATGCTCTGCTTGCAATTGACGGCGACGGGGACGATTCTATCGCTCATTTCTGCGAACAAAGCACTGAATCGCAACAGGAATGGCTCGCGACACGTGGTCCCCTCCGGACAAACTACTAGATCACCTTTTTGTAATAGCTCTGAAATTCGGGCGGCATCAGCCGCACGATCACGAGTTAAAGCGATGGCTGGGATTGGTGATAGGAACCTCGAGAGACGGCTTACACTGTATGTGACACACGAAACTTTACGTCCGAGAGCGATGGCGATGACGATTGGATCAAGTGCTGAACGGTGATTACAGACGTAGAGGTTGCCTGGGGTACCCGGAGACGGCGGCGACGGTCGCTTCCCGCGGATCACGAGGTGAATGCCCAACATTTCGTATGTGTAGCGTACGATGCGCTCGGGTAAAGGTAGATTGAAGTAGACGCGAATGATGGACAAGATGAAGCCGAATGGCAGCCAAATGTAGGTGATCAAGGCATTGAGTGGGTCCGGGCGTTGAACAAACCGACCATCGTGGAAGATGATGCGGCTTCTCAGGCGATCAAGTGGTACCGGTGATGCTGATTTGCTAGGGTGCACCATGTAGCCCTCCTGTTTACATACAGATGCACCATCGTGATTATTAGTACAAATAACTCACTCAAATCTTAATAGAAATATTAGAATCAATTATTATAAAATAATAATTAAATCAATAAAAATATATTTAAATTATCAAAATAAATTCATACATAATAAAATTAAAACAAGAAAATATGTGAAAAATATTGTTTAGAAAATCCATATTTTAAGTGAATATTTCAAATTTATAAAACTTGTCAATGACTGGATTTCTATTTTGAAGCGTTAAAGACTTCACGCTTAGATTGATGAATAACAATATTTAAATGCATTGAGTTACTATCATTAAGTGATATTTTTGACAATAATCAGTTTGCCTTCTCCACCTAAAGAAATCACATTTATGGGGGTGGGAGCTAATTTTGCTGGTGGATCATTAACTGATGTTAAGAGTTAAGTCTGTGGGTCCAATCGAAAGATTAAATACGTTAACCTAACCTCATCTGTTTGGTTAAAATATTTATAAATCAAGTAACTTTATGAACAAGAAATGTATTTAAAAAGATAAAACACTAAACAAGTTTTTATTTATTCAAGATTTTTATGTTAACTTCTGCGGTGAAAAAATATTATCAATAATAAATATTTTAATTTTAATAGTTATTAGAAGACCTCCGAATTATGAAATGCCCTCTGTGAGACTCGATCCCACGACCCCAAGATTAAGATATTAACTACTTTTATATAAAATTATAATTTTTAACATTTTTTAAATTATCACTAACTTAATCAAATAATACACAGATTGTCGTACATATATTACTGACACACATTTGCAGGTAGATACAGGTTATATATAAACAAAATCTATGTTCTTTAGGTTAATTAGAGTGGTATAATGGTGACAAGTTGTGAAGCAACAAACAAGTCAAGATTATTAAGTTTTCACCAACCATGAATTTAAAGATACAAATAAAAAGACGCTTAGCAAGATTACCAAGTTATAGTATATCACAGTCTAAAGATTACCAATGAATCAAAGCCTGATATGTAAATATGAATCAATCAACTTGAAATCTACGGTTGTAGGTTGTTGAAAACGAAATAAAGAACACTAGCAGCAGTCTGTAAGGAGACTAACCTTGCAAATTGACATGAAATCGTGATCAGATTCACGGTCTCCGATTCCAAGATCGGGCGAATCGTCACCAAACTCCTTCAGAATGGCCAATCTCTTCAATTCGCTTACTAAAACGCCTGGCTTCTTAACAAATCCCGTGGCCTTCTTTGTTTTAGGGTTCACTTCGATCTCTGTGCCTAAAACCTTATCTCCACCAAGAAAATCCTTCACAAACGGCTCCACCATGAACGTCGGATTCGCCGTCACTACCACTTTCCTCTTGCATCTGTCAAATACTTCGAAACTTTCCTTCCTCACATTCGCAGCATAAAATCTATCCAAAAAAGAAAGAACTAAGCAAGTTAAGGATAAATTACTTTAAAAAAGGTTAAGATTCGAATCTCTTTCGTTTTTTCTACCTGGGAAGAATAGCGCGGGAGACCAACTCGATGTCGCGGATCTTGAGTCCAGCGAAGGAGATGAAAATGAGGATTTGTATACCAATAGCTTCGGAAATGAAGAGATAAGATACAATGACAAGAGGCAGTGAAAGAAGAAGGATAAGACCTCGAAGGAGGCTTCCCGCTTCGACGGCAATGAGCATGAAATACGGAAAAGAGCTACGTGAGATTAAAAGCGTGCCATCGAGATCGGCGGCGATCGATTCGTATGTCGATCCGTTGCATTCCGTTATTGAAGGAAACCTTCTCCCAGCTCTTAGTGGAGTCATTTTTTCCTTTTTTTTTTCTTGTAGTTCTTTCTGTTTATCTCTGCTGTTTAAAAAGGATGCAAGTGGAAGGGGCGTTGGGGAGAAGGAGAAAAGGGAACGTTGTGTTTTAAATGTGGCGGTTGAACTTTAAATTACGAGAATAGGCCACAAGTCATGGCAGGTCATAATGACAGAAACGCCGAGTTCCTCCGAAGTGACCGATATACCCTTTTTTATTGAATTGAATTTTGGGGTTTCTGCCGCTCACCACTCAACCGTTTTCAGCGGGATTAATTAATGTTTATCACATTAATTAATTGATAATATGGTATTATTGTTTGATTTACTGATAATTAATGTATAAAATATATAACGAGAGTAGTAAAATTAATAAATAATATATCAACAACATATAAAATGATGTTAAAAATATATATTATGGTATATTATAATAATTTTATAATAAATATTAATAAATTAAATATAAATATTTTATGACTCTATCAAGCATTCTTAATTTTAAGATATAATATTATTCTCTTTAGAGATTTTAAGTTCTAATAGTTATATTTATACATGTGTATATTATCAATAAATTAAAAAATTATGAACATATATAATTTCATAATCATTTTAAATCATTTATAAAAAAATATTTATTTTATTACCAACAATAAGTTAGTCTAATAAGATGATGCACTAGATTCTTTAAGAAAGTTAGATATTCGAATCATGGAATTTGTGAATGGAACAAATTGGATTGGAAGGGTAACCCTTACCTCAGCAGTATTTGATCTAGATTAATCGGTCAATAGATCTATACATTCAAAAAAATATTTATTTTATTTATGTGATTTGATTGAAAATTACCCGATTCTTAAATTATCACTTACGATAAGTAAGATTAAAAATAGAGAAAATAACCTCAGTGACCAAAAATCCCATATAATATACGATTTTAACCAACTTTTTCCGGATTTGCCAAAATGACCAACAAAATCGCAATGCGATCGCTAATTCGCAACGCGATCTCCATTATCGCAAATCAGTTTCCAGATTCGCAACGCGATTATGACTATCGCAATACGATTTTCCACGCGTTGCAATTTTCTCAATTTGCAATGCGAATAAGTAAATCACAATGCGAATTTGGAAAATCGCAATGCGATACTGATTATCGCAACGCAATTTTCCTAATTCGCATTGCGATTTACGTATTCGCGTTGCGATTTTCATAATTCGCAATGCGAATACGTAAATCGCAACGCGATTAAGTAAATCGCAATGCGAATTAGGAAAATCGCAATGCGAATACGTAAATCGCAATGCGAATCTGACTATCGCAATGCGATTTACATAGCGCCATTCGTATTAACGCGTATTTTTTTTCAAATTCCAAACACGAATTTTTTCTTAATATATCGGAAACTGAACCGTCCACAGTAATCGCAACTCATAACCTCAAACCTAAAATCACAACACTCAGTCCCATCTCCATCTCTCACTCTCTACGGCAAAATCCGTCCCCGTCTCCGAAGATTTCCGTCCCCATCGCCGGTGAAATCCCTCACAACCATTCACGGTCAGAAATCCCTCACAATCATTCAGAAATGGAAAATCAACCTCCGAGGGTTAGTTTTTTTAATTATTTTTATTTTGAAATTTTTGCATTATTTTAAGTTTTTCATATTGAAATTGATGATAAGTTTACTGGTAATTTCAATAATAGATTAACCATTTCACTTAGATTTCTTATTAAATTCATTCGATTGCTGCCAATACTGCTAAACTGTTTAGTATTTAACCTTGTGAAGTTAGTATTTGTCTTTGTTTTGTCTTTTGGTTGAAGTAATGCAGAAGAAGAATAGTTTCGAGAATGAAAATCGCAACGCGGAAATGACTATCGCAACGAGAGAATCGCAACGCGAAACCAAAATCGCATTGCGATTTTCATTTCGCGTTGCGATAGTCATTTACGCGTTGCGATTTTCATTATCTCGTTGCGATTTTCATTTCAACCAAAAGACAAAACAGTGTTGCAAATTTTAGTTTCAAGAATAAACTACTATTTATGTTTATTGTTTTTGGTATATCTTCACAGTGTAGTTTTTGGTATATCTAACTTGGTATGTTTATTGTTTTTGTAGAAATTTTTTTCGGCTTCATTGACATTAAGGAATAAAGTTAGCCTAGCCACTACAATTGCTTCGAAGCTTTCACCTGCACAAAGAAAATTGTTTGAGGAAACCTGCTTCGGGTCATGGCTGAGAGTACAACATCCGGGTGAAGATGCTAATTTGACCCATTTGTGGCTTCAGACCATGACTAGCGATCTACCCGACAGTATACAACGTGGTGAGGAAGAGATATGGTTTCATTTTCCACCGGCTTATACTTGTTTTGGGCGGAAGGAGTTCTGCTTAATCAATGGTCTACGATTCGGACACGATGATGTAGGCCGGTACACTCGTCATATCACCCGCCCATCATGGTTATCCAGGGTTTTTCCTGATGAGTCAATAGAGAAGCCGAACTTACACGTCGACGAACTGAAGAAATTGTTTAATAAGAAAGATGGTTTTACTCGGATGAATGACGTCGATGTTGTCCGAGTATGCCTTTTACTACTTTTGTATGCCGACTTTTTAGGCAGAGAGGTCAGACAACATATTCCTCAGGAGCTAATATTATTGGTAGATGACCTAAATGCATGGAATCTGTTTCCGTGGGGTTCGTATATATGGAAAGCTACCTAGACTAAGTTGTCGTCTGCCTTTGATGACCGCAAAAGTTTGCGGGGCGATGGGTCGAAATACACTTTGTCAGGCTTTGTTTGGGCCTTTAAGGTAAGAATTTCTATATAATGTTTTCAAATTTATAATTAATTATTTAACAATTACTAATGTTTGTTATTATATTGTTTGTAGATTTGGATATTCGAGGCTTTCCCCAGCATGCAGACATATGCATTAAAAACCTTAAATGATATTCCTATGGCTATTTCCTAGAAGAGGAAACGTCTGTTGGATTGTGAAGACTTAATACCATATGCGACAATAAATAATGTAAGTTAACACAAATACTATCATATATAAACAAGTTATTAATAATAGACGTTTAACTTTATTTGAGTTTTTATATTTTTAAGAGGCCAACACTCCATTAATGAGACTGACACCCACGGAGGTTGAGCTTGCCACTGATTGGTGGCAAGCTAGTCAGCGTTTTCTTGATGGCACGAATGATGAGCAGCCTCCACTTCCTCCACTTTGAGAGCCATCACCTCACCCAGAGCCATCACCTGATCGACCCGACTATACACCTCTACAACGAGAGCCATCACCTATCCCATCACATCATCGAGCCTCTTCTCCACCATCACCTCATGATAGGCGACCGGCAAAGATGCCACGACTTCTATCTCTCTGTTCTCCACCTCCACGGGATGAGTCAAGGGAGTTACGTGATGAGGTCAATGCCTTGCGTGAGGAGATCGATACTTTACGCGATAACGATGGTGCATGGCGTGTGGAGGTGTATACTTTATGTGGTGAGGTTGTCGTTCTACGTGAGATGGTAGTATCGTTACAGAATGAGGTTCATACTCTACGCAACGAGGTAAGTTTAAGATTTTCCATATTTAACTTGATGATAAATTTACTCGTAATTTCACTTAGATTAACCATTTCACTTAGATTGCTTAGTAAATTTATTCGGTTGCTGCCAATACTGCTAAACTGTTTATTAACACTGTGAAGTTAGTATTTGTCTTTTGGTTGAAGTAAATTTATTCGGTTGCTGCCAATTCTGCTAAACTGTGTATTCTTTAACACTGTGAAGTTAGTATTTGTCTTTGTTTTGTCTTTTGGTTGAAAGTAAATTTGTTCGGTTGCTGCCAATTCTGCTAAACTGTGTATTCTTTAACACTGTGAAGTTAGTATTTGTCTTTGTTTTGTCTTTTGGTTGAAAGTAAATTTGTTCGTTTGCTGCCAATTCTGCTAAACTGTGTATTATTTAATACTCTGAAGTTAGTATTTGTCTTTGTTTTGTCTTTTGGTCGAAGTAATGCAATCCATTCAAGTTTCAATTTGCAGAAGAAGAAGAAATAGTTTATTCTTGAAACTAATTTAGTAACACTGTTTTGTCTTTTGTTTTGTCTTTTGGTTTCGCGTTGCGCTAGTCATTTTTCACGTTGCGATTTTAAGTTCCAGAAACTATTCTTCTTCTGCAAATTGAAACTTGAATGAATTGCATTACTTCAACCAATAGACAAAGACAAATACTAAGTTGACAGTGTTGCAAGTTTGAAACATATTTGCCTTTGTTATCTGATGTATTTTGTGAACAATGATAGAATAATGACTTGGGTGAATTCAATGCAAGTTTGAAACATATTTGTCTTTGTTTTCACTGTTTAAATATCATGTCTGTTTATTTACTGATATTTGTATTTAATTATTTAGCGGACCGATAAGGTGGATGCTTTACGTCGGGTTTTTCTTGCACGACAGAGTTCACGCGTCAGACGGCGTGCATGTGCTATTAAGTCTCCGTACACCCCAATAGTGCGAAGACACCGTAAAAAGAAGCCCGACTTGCCTGTCATCCCTCAAGAGTCCACTCATATCGTTGAAGAGGCCCCTATCATTCCTCGAGAGTCCCCTCCCACCGTTCAAGAGGCCACTGTCATCGTTGAAGAGGTCACTCCCACCATTCAAGAGCCCGATTCACATGGCGTCATATGTAGGATTCTTGAGAAACCCTCTGACGTGCCGGACATGATGGATTCAAGTTGGCTCTCATATGAGTTACCGGCTAATACCATACCGGTATCTGAAGTGGAGAGGAGACAACTACCGGACACAATTCTGGATAACACCCTTTGGGCTAAGACCGCAGTTGATTTTTATCTACATGAGCGGAGCCAGGGGTGTTTCACTGACATATGCAAGCTCAACGATGATATCTATTTGTTGCTTGATCGGTCTTGGTGGGGTGTATTATTAGGGGTCGAAGACAATGGCTATTTCGATGGAGGGGTAAGTCTTATATTTTTCTTATATTTCAATTTG